TTCGAGCGGATTTCTCACCACCATGTGATATATCTTAATTTAACCGCGCAGCGGTAGAATGTATGCGACTTATATACGCGCGATTTTTTACAATCTATTTTTATTCCAAAGATACGATATATAATGCGATAATTTCGTCGATAACCCCTTGTCCTTTCTATAATATTGCATAATGGAAATTTTCAAGTTATTAACATACTAATCGTGCAGTAAATAATTTTAACAGCTATTTTCAGGCCGTTTTAAAAGTCGCTGGAAAACTAGAAGTACATCTAATTGTTATGACACAGTTTCCACGATAGAAGTTATAATATGGACAAATGACTAGCATAATTGCAGCGATAACAAAATTCTCCGATCATTGCAGGTCACCGTGGTAATGTTTTGAGAAATGAAAGGGTATCGCATAATGATTATGCAAAAACATGAACAAACATAACTGCAAAATCTAATGGATATATCGCGTAAATATATATAAACTACTCATAGACAAGTCGGCGTTGTGCTCGATCTATTAGAATGATCAACGTATCGAATACGCTGGAATATTTATTATAAGCCTTCTATGTCGCCGCTTTATTGAACCCTCTCTCTTTCTATCCTTCTTTTTGAACGAATGCATCGCAATACTGAACTTCTCTCTCTCATTGTGGCTTCTGAATCAATTTAATGAATGGATAGAACCATCTGGAACCCTCTCTTGTTGCCAAGTGTCGTTTATGTAATGCTTTTGTAGTAGCAAAGCACGTTAATAATTAATTAGTAGAAACCCCATAGATTTTAAGACAACACATCGGCTTAATTGTTTCGAGAGGGGAGTAATTAAATAAAAATACTTTAATTTCAAACTCATCTTTAATGCGTTTAAAAATTCAATTAATTGTTCGATAATAAATGTTGCGAGAAATTTATACTCATCTTTTTGTATTTGTTGAGAAATTTGTTAAGAATTCTTGGCATAAAAATAGCTAGTAAGAATAAAAAAAAAAAGATAAAAAATTCAGAAAATTAGGAAGATATTTGCAGAATCCTTATTCGACAAAAACAATAACTCAGCATGACTGATATAATTAGAAAATGTATCTTTTATCTATTACGCGAATGGCGCTATTAGATAATAATATACGTCACAGTAAGCAATCCCCACTTCCATTTATCTTTTCGTATATAAGAAGCTATTATCGAGGCATCGTTGGCCAGAAACCGGTCTCTCGATCGCGACAGATTTTGGAATCAAAGTATATATATATAATTCGTAATAATGGCAACGGCGAAGTTCAAGGAGACGTCTCCCTACGTCAAACCGAAGCCTTCGCCACCAAAAGATGATTACCTGTATGACAAGTGAGTAATTAATTCAAATCATTGCACAATATAAATTCGCACCGGCGCGATGTGCATCATAAAATAAATGTTATAATCGATTAACGGAAATTTGTTCGATGAAGAAAATTGCTTATTGAAGAACGTTTACTTTTATTATTTTTAAATTTTATTTCTATTTTTAATTTAAAGCCGACACGAAAAATGTCTACGCGCAACAAAATTCATATGAGCTTTAAATGAACAAATTTTCAATTGATTTTCTAAATGACCTTTATGTAGGACAATTACTGTAGTTTTTCACTTTAGACTTTGAGACCAGAAATTTCAACTATGTTTCTTCAAGATTTGATGTTTTTTTGCTTCCAATATTCTTTTACTGACTTTTCTACTAATATAAAACCTATATAGATTAATATTAAAATATATTAATTAAGTTAAACCGGATTAATATTTAATCTCAGTTTAATTTACCTCTTCCTAGTCTCTTTCTAATTTTAAAAATAGAAAAAATAAAGAGTAAATTAAACTATTAAAATAATTCTTAATATGGCTCAATCAGAATAAATCACTAAATAAAAGAAGGGCTACGAGCCAATTATAATGTAAAATACTTAATAATTTAAAATTCGACGTTTTTACTGGACATTATATGTGACCGAATTTTCCGATAATTTATGTAATATTGTTTGTTGTTTTACATTGAAAATGACCCGATCGGTGTCGAAACGTTTGTATGTACGAATTTTAAATTATTAAATATTTTACGTTATAATTGGCTCATAGCCCTTCTTTTATTTAGTGATTTAAACTATTAAACCTCTTTTAAGAAATTAAAATTATTCGACAATGGTAGAAATGTACATTAGAGAAATATCTTTCGTAGATATTTAGAACACTTCGCCCTGAAAACGGAGAAGGAATCGATAGTTAAAGTGGCTCTGTTCGGCGTGGGTCGTGCCGGGACGATACATTTAGCGAATATAAATTCTAGTAAACGTGTCCAACTTTTATATATTGTTGATGACGTTGAGAGTAATTGGCAAAGTATACAAAAGTACTGGCATCTGGACAACGTTACCTTCCTAAATAGCAAGCAGTCTGATAAAGTATTCAAAGATCCCAAGTAAGTAGTCATATCAAGTAAAAAAGCGCTGCCGAGAATAATCAAGTTAAATAAACTTAAATTAAAATTAAAAATTAAGTACCTGTTATAATATAGATTTATATGTATGAATTACACAATTTGTATATCTAGATCTAAACCATAGGCCTGTTCTTTTTGGCTGAACTTTTGCACCAGTTCATCTTTCTTCTTCTTCTTCTTTCCTTCTGAAGAGAAAAGGAAGAAAGATAAACTGGTGCAAAGTTCAGCTAAAAAAAAACAGGCTTAATATAAATCTGTAATACAAATGCATAACAAACAAACAAGTAATGCCCGCTTTTCATGATTTGTAAAGCGTCGACGCGATTTTCGTGGCGTCGCCGACTTACACACATGAAGATATAGTTATTAAAGCTCTGGAAGCAAAAAAGGCAGTTTTCTGTGAGAAACCCATAGCGGAGGATCGCCCAAGCACCGTCAAATGCTACGAGATAGCCAAGAAAGTCGGCAAGCCGCTGTTTTCCGCGTTCAATCGGCGATTTGATCCGAGTTATTCGAATTTGAAAGAACGAGTTCGCAAAGGAGAAGTCGGACACGTCCACATGATTAAAACAGTCTCTCGTGACTCTCCTTTGCCCTCTCTAGAGTATTTGAAAGCATCCGGCGCTATCTTTCACGATTGCCTGGTCCATGATATCGACATGATTACTTGGGTTCTCGGAGAATTCCCAGATAAGGTGCGATTTTTACAGCAATTTTGTGTATCTGTATATGTAGTTAATATCTTAGGAAAAGTGAATTTTTATTTTTTATAATTATCTCGAAGAATTAAAAAATATTATACAAACCGTATTTGTTAAAAAAAAATAAATAAATAAAAAATGCGAATTACAGGTTTCGGTCTTAGCTCACGCAAATATCCCAGAGATTAAGGCCATTGGAGACTTCGACACGGTTGCAGTGAACTTACATTTTCCATCAGGAACAGTTGGCATGATTGATTTATCGCGCAACAGCTCATACGGATATGATCAACGACTGGAAGCCTTCGGTCCGAAGGGCATGTTGCAAGCCGACAACGAACAGTTCCACTCCGTTCATTCGTATAATGACCTACAAGGGATTACCACCGCCCCGATCTGTTAGCCGTTTTAAGAACGGCTACCTAAGAGAGTTTAATCACTTCCTCGATGTGGTACATGGTAAGGTTGAGTCGCAGGTCAAGTCGCAGGAGATCCTGGCGGTGAGTAAGATCGCTACGGCCTGCGAAGAGTCCGCTCGCATGGGGAAAGTCGTGGAACTCACATGGGCGAAGGACGAGTTGCCGAATAACTCATGAGGAAACAGCAAAATTTCAGCAAAACTTCAACAAAACTATTATTACATCCATATATAATATTATCTTCTTTGATGTCATTTTTATAAATTATATATATATATATATATACATACTTTTTTGTTTATAAATGGAACAAATTACCAAATTATAGCGTATAAAAAGAGTGAGACTTCTATGAACGTTATTCATTTAAAATTTATATGTACGACTCTCTTTCGCTCAGTATTTAAATATCTGAGTATCCGAGAAACAAAGGTATAGATATGTAATAAATATTTGTAAACGTGATTTTCCTTTTTTTCTCCCCTTTTGAATTTTTTTTATCTAAGATCACAATATCACAAAATAGATATTTTTTAAAGTGCAATTTGAAATAAAATAATATAACTATAATACACATATATAAATACATATTATGAATTATGTAATGCATATTATTATTGTTTAACGGGTTTTTGCTCAAATAATGAATGCTTTTGAATGAATTAGTTGATAAATAAATCAAGCCATATTGTTTATGTTTTTATTGTATGACAAAGAAATTATAATAATGTACCAAATACCTTGTCAAAAGAAAAATAGCAGCAGTATAAAATCGACATTATTTGTAAATTGAGTACACACCTGTGTAGAAGACACTTCATATAACTGCTATCATAACAAATATCTTGTAAAAAAATGGAAAATTTTTCTATTCGCTTGTTATTATCATTTTATATACAAAGTCAGCGTTTTTCTTCGGTAAATAATGAGGAACTGAGTTTGAGCTGAGTCCAACATCAAATTCGAGTCTCTGAAACATTATCAAACTATAAAGTCGATGTTCTAGCGCAGATTCTGTCTACTCCATTTCGTGCTCGAAATTTATAAGTCTATTAATACTAGATATATATACATTTGTCCATATTCACCACTTAAATGAAAAATTACAAAGATACCGCAAAAGATATACATATCTTTCGGAGTGTGTAGAAAAATCTTATCGCTTACTATGCTGATTCTCCCCAGCGCAGTTGTGTATACACAAGTCTTATTTTTGTATGAATTTCAAATAAAATCTTGATATATTCAATATATAATCATATTTCGCAAATATATGCATACTGCAATCAATTATGTTAAATATTAGGTCACGTAACAGTTTAATTCTTCTTTTAACCAACTTTCCTACATAGCATAGTATAGTACATATATAAATATATATACTATTTGGAAATAATGCAATTAGGCGTGTGTATGTGTAAGAAAATATATAAAGGTGTATACTTCAAACATAACTTCTTATCAATTTAACTGGAACTTCTGTATTATTTATGCATTTTTATAAGATTCAATCTGATGCGCATATTCTCCAACGTTTTTCAATGTTCTTCAATTTGTTTCTGAGCTATAAAATTTTTTTTACATCGTAACTATTGATCAATGTATCAAATTTTCATTTATTGAAAGAATTGTGGTCTTCTTCGTTTTGTGAATCAGCTGAAACTTCAAAAATATGATATTCTTTTCTGGGGCCGCTTTTTCATTTATGTGACTGTACATATTAGAAAACGAATAACAAACACCATATGTATGCATAACATTCATTCTAATATTGGAATAAATGTATATTAGAACAAAAGCGGAGATTGAGAAGTTCTATATTAAAGATAACATTTGATTCCAACGATTTCACAAAACGGAGAATCAACTCAATTAAAAGTAAGTATCAAACAGCGATTAGATGACGCTTAGACGACATTTAAAAATTGCTTTGAACATTGTTTGTCCTTTCCATTTTTATTGCCTAGCATATATTCACAATTTCGCTCTATGCCTGTCCCTTCGTTTACAATAACTCGCACGATAACACTTAAATCGCACGCAACAATTTTTAACATTTAAAACTTTAATGATTTCGCAAACAGTGCAGCAGTAGCCTGCGTTTTATCCCCGTTAAATCTACGCAATTCCGCAATGACTTGCGTCCTAGTAAAACCCAGAGCCTCCAGTTCCTTGACTGTGGCTTCCGTGAACGGATCATGCGGATAAATTGTAGTCTCTAAAGCGGCAGGCCTTGATGACCCTTGATTACTGCTGCCTTGCCCGTCTAATAAATTTTCATGAAAATATTTATCATCGACGAGAAAAATAGCCGAAGAAAAAAATTATGTTCGTTTAAAAAAAAGTAAATTATCGTAGGCTATAAATAACGATCACGCAAATTAGATATTCATAACTTTGAGTTGCTATCAAAAACAAAAATTTAATAATTTAAATTTATTTAAAAAAGACAATGACAGAAATTATACTAAAACAGACCAGGCATAGGGGAAAGGTATGAAGATGGTATTTTTTTAATAGATAAAGTGGAATAAAAAGAGATAAGAGGATAGCCTGGACTGATACATACTTACCATGCTGCCTCTGTTTCTTAGCATCCCTCGTACTATCCTCGAGAGCTCGCTGGAGATCTCTGTCATCTAAGGATTCATCACTGTTTCCACTTAATTTTGCACATTCTGGTAAATCACCTGTAGAAATAATTATTAATAAATTATTATTTGCTAATATTTTTTATTCTGACATTTCCTTAATATTAATTAATTATATATATAAAATAGATTATAATATTAATATTATATATTATAATATTAATAAGATTTTATATATATATAGTTTTATTAATTACAAAAAAAGAAATGTACCTTCTGCCAGAAATGAAGTTTCAGTGCCCGTAGTTCCGATCTTTAAGACATTTTTCTTCAAGTCTATGCAACATTGATGTCTTTTAAGCATATCCAAGCCCAACAACATGTCCATAGGCTGTTCCTCAAGAACACTGAAGGATGTTGTCAGATGGTCATTGCCGATCTGTATTTGTACCATGTGTATACGACCGATTATGCGTTGTACTCCAACACCCTTGGCGACTCCGGCCCACCTTGTGTCCACCAAACGCATAATATGGCATCTCTCGGCACAGGCAGCAGACATAATAGTGGTTTGTGCACCTTGGGTTACAAATAATATATCTTTGATGTTACTTATCCTCGTTTCCATCAATGTAGATTCACTTTAATCTCGGTTCAACTTACTCTTCATCTTTTTTCAGTTCTAAGAATTAGAAAGTTGAAAAGCAAGTAGAATTGAGATTAAAATTAATTTGCATTGATAGAAATGAGCATTAGAGTCAATTTTGCACTTTTTGTCCAATGCTTTCATTGTACAAATGTTTCTAGAGACGATTGAAATATATTGCGATATATTTATATTTAAGAACAAGTCTTTTATCCTGTTTTCACGAACAGAGGTCATACGTTCTAAAATTAAATTGTTTTTCTGCATACCATGCAGAACGATCATTCGAGATATATATGTTTAAAAATAGACGTTTACTCAGTCTTTCTTTCTTTCTCTCGAGTATAGAACAAAGATATGTAAAAATAATCTCAAGTACGATTCAAGCTAGATGAAAAGATTGAAGAAAATTTTAAGTCGTCATCAGACTAGAGATTGAGATTAGGTTGGAACTTAACTAAACAGAAGAAAGAAAATCAATCTCAAGTTTAGTAAATTTTGCTTTGATTGGTTAAATCTCAATCTCAACTTCTAATCTGATCACGGATTTACATATTTATAAGATGTGCGTGGAAAATCGCATTTTTACTTGCTACTAGAAATAACACTTGGGTCGGCGATGTACCTGAATCAATAAAGGCTTTAACCGGAAATCCGTTGACTTTACAATTGATATACAACATAACAACGGTGCCAAAGGTCTCTGGATTGTATTCCATTGCAGCCTCCATATTTGCTTCGATATTTTTCTGTCTAATCTCTTCTGCAATTAGCCGCTGTGCTTCGGTGTCAAAGGGATCGGCATTCATCATTCTTAACCGTTGTGCTTGTCGTTCTTCTCGAGCGGCTATCTGCTCTTTGAGTACAGTTGAAAATCTATCTACAATACACAAATATTTAGAGAAATAATTTACCAGAAATAATATTAAAATATAAAGCTGTAATATTCGAAACTATTACTTACCAAGATTTCCCGACAGTAGTGCATCGGCTAATCTGGGATTATTTTGTTTTAACAATGCCAGCTGATCTGGATTAGCCAGGAACATGTTTTTTATCATAGCTGGATCGTCCTCGCTGCGGGGATTTTGTACTCTGTTGTTTGCGATCGGCGATGGACGCTGATTATTGCTGGTCCCAGGAACTCTGATGGAACTGAAGTCCAGTAATGGAATGGCTAGAGCGACGTTTCTTCAAATTTAGTATGTTCATTTTTTTAATAAGATATATGTTGCTGAGTACAACACAAAGGAGATAGTAAATTAAATTTCTCAATGAAGTTTTGGAGTATTAAGTTTGACATATATATATCAAACACTGAAACTGATGGACATGTATAATTAAACAGAAAGCAAAGGCCAAAATTTTTGAAGCCTATCTACATTCTCTATCAATAATAGATAAATGATAAAAAGTACTGTTACAATCAGATGCAGTGCATAAAAATTAATAATAGATTAGTTTGTTTTTTAACTGAACTTCTTGCATCATTCATTTTTTCTTTTTTTCCCCAATAAGGAAAGAAAAAGAAGAAAGATAAACTGTGTAATAAAGTTCAACTGAAAAGAACAGACCTAAATAGCAAACATTTTTTGAGCTGTACATGAAGTAAAATTTTTGCTTGATCAACACATAAAGCAGCATTTATAGTTCATTCTTATTTTAAAATTGTCTTAAGATGCTAATACAGCTCTTTGGCCAGTATTCATAATTTGCTCTTATTTCAAGACTGTCTTAAAATACTAATGCAGCTCTTTTCATTGGTTCATTACATCTCAAGACTATACTCAAGATAGTCTTAAATATAAGAATCAACTGTGAATACTGGCCTTTAATTGGTTTATAACATCTTAAGACTGTGCTTAAAATAGTCTTACCAGGATGCTACAATGAGTCGATAGTCGGAAGTCCTAAGCGGTCCTAATGCTGATTCTACAATGAGTCTGTAGTCAGAAGTCTTAGGCCAGTATTCATAGTCAGTTCTTATAGTCAAGACAGTCTTAAGTTCAATCACGAACCAATCAGAGATCCGCATTAGTGTCTTAAGTAATGTTACTTAGATGATCTTGAAATAAGAATCCACTATGAATACCAGTCCTTAATTGGTGAAGTTGGCTAATCAGCGTTAGTTGTACGAGTTGGATCAATTTCACCGATAAGACTTAGGACTACCAACTACCGACTCATTGTAGAATCAGCATAAGTCTTAATCGGTGAAGTTGGCCAATAGCGACTAAGATAAAGACTTGTTCTACAATGAGTCGACTACCGACTCATTGTAGAACTCCTATTAAATACAAAAATCAGTAATGGACCACTCTTAGGTACTCACCTCTGTTGAAGGGCTGTAGGTTCATGTCGCTGCCACTTTGATGCATGTGCTGGAGGATGACAGCGTCGCCGTCACGGATTCCAAGATCACGCAACGACTTCTTGTCGTCCATAAGTGGCAAGCCGTTGAACGCGATAACAATCTCATGGGCCGGCACGCCGCTCTCAATCTCGCAGAACGCTTTAAAGTTCTCCAGCTCCAGCTCCTCGCTCACGTCAAGGACGAAGACGCTATCGTCGCTGAGTGTCGTCACCGTCACCTTCATCGTTCCCGTTGGACGACTTTGAACTCAACGGATAAACACGGGGACGCACGTTCGCTTCGCTCTCTCACCGTCGATGGGAAAATGCCGGGAAGGATCCACGCGACGTGTCCTCGGCCCTCGAGGAACGGGCGAGGATGTACAACGTGGCGGGAGGGGAGGGGCGGGCTTATTCACGGTGAGTCCTCCGCCGTCCTCCGGATGTAAACACGAGACCAACTCAGCAAAAATATTGAGTTTGGGAACGCATATTAAAGAGAAACGGGAGGGCCTCTGTCGGAATAACCGTGAAGTATGGAATTTTTTTCATGAGTTTTAGAACGCAATTTGATAAATATAGCCCTCTACCGGAATAATTGTGAACTACTCAATTTATTAATGAATGGAACACAGAATTTATTTAAAAAAAGTTAATCTGACGCAATAATCGTAAAAATCGTATTATAAATACAAATTATAAATTTTCAGATTCTTTTAATTTATACAAATAATATTCCAACAGTCATAATCGTAACTACAAATGACTATCGAATGATAATCGTGAATAAGAACGCTGATAGGCTGAAATTTTTCTGTCCAAATCTGTTAAAGTCACTAGATTAATAAAGTATCGCGATGGGAAAAATTGAAGTGACATATCTTTGGAGTCAAAATGGCGTTGAGTGCAGATATTGCATTTAGTGTAATGTATCTATATATTAGGCCTGTTCTTTTTGCCTGCACTGTCTGAACTGGTGCACACAGTGTAATAAGTTGAAATGAAACGAACGTATATCTGTTTCACTTTAACTTATTGCACTGTGTGCACCAATTCAGTAAAAAGAACAGTCCTATTAAGTACAATCCAAATCGCGTCATGAGCCAAACTGGCGGCAGTTCGCAATACTTTGTTAATCTAGTGACTTTACAAATAGTTACTGTGATGCGAGTGTTGTGTCGCCACGTGTGTTTGAGATTGAAATGTAAAGAGATTTTACGTGGAGCTTTTAGAGAATAAATAAATAATTGATTTCACATCCTCCTTTATAGTTTAAAGATGAAGAATTTATCACACGCGAAAATGAGGCTCATATTCCAGAAGCTAATGAAGTAGTAAGTAACTTAACAACTTAAATTATGCTTATTCCATAATCGTCTAATTGAATGTAGGTTCTCTAAATGTGTTGTGTACCGGGTATTTACAATAATTTCATATTTAATTATAGCATTGGCAATAACATAAAGAGCTTTATTGAGCGGCCAGATGGTCCTTACCACTTTCGGGAGAAAAAGGACAGGGTATATTATGTGTCGCAGAAAATTTTATCGATAGCGAATAACATAGAATCTGATAATCTGTTAAGTTTAGGCACTTGTATAGGCAGATTCACAAAATCAGGAAAGTTCAGACTACATATCACTGCGTTACACCATATAGCACCTTATGCACAAGTGAGTATGCATAATTATAAATATATTTAGATTTAAGTGTAATTACAAATTTATCAAGTATAAAATTCTTTATCAAGCACAAAATTTGGGTAAAACCTTCGGCGGAGCAACAGTTCCTTTATGGAAATAACATTATGAAATCAGGCCTTGCTCGTATAACAGAAGGCATTAATCAATATCAAGGTGTCGTCGTATTTTCCATGAATGATTTGCCACTGGTATGTTACATATTGAATTAAATATATAATTAATTCTCAACGCATCATCGATTATCTCTTTCACTTAAATATATAAAAAGATATAATAAGACAATAATAAGTTCATTTATATTTTCCACTTGATACTTCAGGGATTTGGCGTTGCTGCAAAAAATACAGCTGATTGCAAACATGCAGATCCTGTAGCAATAATTTGCTTTCACGAAGCAGATATTGGAGATTACATTCGTTCAGAAGACACATTACTGTGACAAAGATTTACAACTGTTCTTTCCTTTTTTTAAGAAAACGAAATATACCTAATTTGTACAGCAAGTTTACTTATTTTTTGCGTCTTATAATTTAGATGTCTGACTTGTGTAATATTACGTATATTGATGAGTTAATAAAGTTGAGAGTTGCTTGTGTACATTGACGTATAATATGTGTATATAATACACTCCAATCATGGCACGAAACATTGCATTTGTTTGTAAAACAAAAGATTACGGTAGATTATATTTTATCTCCATATTTTTCTATAATCTTATTACAAGCGAACTTTGTGCATTACAAATTTGATTTTTATCATCAATATAAAATACAAATACGTACATTCTATTTTTTACGTGTTCCACATTATGGAAAACTTTTGAAATGCGTTATCGTACCTGCTGATTAAAAACAACATATTAATTAACAATTGTTAAAGTATATGTAGGGTATAATATTGACAAATAAAAATTTGTGCTCTTTTGATAACATTATTTGGATGTAATAAATAACAATATACACGATACTTCAAAACGATATCTATCGATGGTGCGTGATGTGGTTTTGTTAGAAAATAAAAAAAGCTTTGTGGAATAAAATTTGTATGATGTATTGATGCCACAATGCAAGAGAATGTATTTTCACAGATCATAAATGAAAGTACGGTACGACTTATGACTAGCGTAAACTGGCTAAGATTTACAAATTTATTTGAACTATTTATCAATTGTTTCTTTTTTTTTCTTTTTCTTCAGTTATTACAAATGCAATGAATGCAAACTGGTTCCCGAATACGCAAATTGTGAGAAACTGTGAACTGCGAATAACGACTTATCGTTTAATGTTTTTGGTGTGCAGTGCAACAAATAGATGAGAAATATACATTAAAATATAAATCGTCTAAAAAAATTCAAATTCTTGCAAATAAAATTATAATCATATTTGCTCGCATTATGATGCATTGTTCACATGCTTTCGTTTATTTTTGAATTTTATATGATACTCATTTCTCACATTTCGATATAATAATCGCTTTTAATCTCTAATTGCCCTGGCGAAAAAGTTTTTCGAGTTAAAAGAATATCTACGAAAAATTAAGAATTTTTAAGATCTTGTCAATTTATATATGTAGTTTTTTTCTGTATTTTTTCTTAAAAATTTTTTTCTCGCTAGAATAATTGCAAACGTAGAACGCACGCAGTCGCAGTCTATATTTCGTTATATTACGCGATCAATTAAGGTTTGAAAGACAGACAAATCAGACTTAGAATATTTCTTCACATCTTTTCCTTGACACTCTCATTTTTAGAACTATCTTATCACGATATAAATCAGGTAATGATATAAATCACGTAAAGCTAACCGATATCAATAAAAAGCTATTATTACTGCAAGAGAATCTAATATACGGGATAATTTAATACGAATAGGAAGTGATCTCGAACATTTCTGAAAAAAAGGCAAAAAAGATACAATGTCGTATTATTTTTGGTATTTATCATACTAAAAAATCATGTCTCTTCTTCTATATTGCATAGCGAAATTTTTTCCCAACGTTCTAGGTTACCCATTAATGCATTTAGAAATATTGAATGAATTTATTCTACAAAATTCGTATATTTCTCGTTATTGATTCATTATTTATCTACATACGTACGTACACGTCAAAAATTCATTTAAAGTGCAAATTTGTGTTACATTTTATCAATTCTTCCGTTTTCTCAATGCAAACATACTATAAAGAAAAGATTTCGAGACAATAAAATTCAAGGTTGGTAAAAATAATGTTTCAAACATGTTTTAAATTGTTTAAAACATTCTTAATCGAAGTTTTTCACATGTTTTAAACATGTATTTTTTATAACAATTTTTTTATAAACTGTTTAAAGCATCTATGAAGCATTAAAAACAAGTTTTAAAAAAAATTGTTCTTAAAAAAAAAAAACATTATCTTTTGCCAATCCTGATAAAATCCAAAGAAACATTTTTTTCTTTATCAAATTTAGCAAACACAGGTTTCAGCAAGTTCACCTCTTATTTGTATCGGCCAACTTATCTTTATCCTTCTTTCTTTCCCTTTAATAATAATTTTACGATATACGAAATTCCCAACACTTTCGTAGCTCTTATATTACTCTTTCTTTTATATCTTTTTGTTCGTTTTTAACACATTTTGTAAATATACAGATTTACACGCTTTTACCGATGTTGTTTTACTAATTAGATAATCACTATAAACGACATTGTATATCACATTAATTTTCAATATTTCGTAAAGACGTACTTCGTTTCTGTTCCTCCTTTTCCCCATGCTTTTAACAGCACTTTAATTCCAGCTATCTTGTTATTGGAACACAGAAAGTCTCAAATACGTGTTTTCTTTATAAAATATTTGCATAAATATCCCAAAATATGTACTTACGTGTAATGCAATGAGAAAGTGAGCAGAAATTAACATATAGTGCGATAAAAATGATTCACATATTGACAAAACATACAGAACTATAAAACTAGAACTGGATATGTATATAAATTCACACCAAAATATTATTTAAGCATTAAGGTGCATTTTTACGAGCCGCTCGAATTGGCCGTTTCAATGATAAAAAAAGATCACATACTGAAAAAAGGCAAGAATCGCCGAATTTGACATTTGAGCGACAGATTTGACGCTCTTTTACCTGGATCAGCAACAAAGAATAAATTAGGTTATATATATCGTGGTATTCGTAGTCAACGTTGGTCAACACGGTCGACATGGTGCAATAGCACTGTTATTTTAGCCGCTGAAATAAGAGCGACAGATCTGTCGCTCTAATTGTTTTAGTAGCACGTGAAACTATACCTTTAAAATCCAGCTCAGATCGATAAGACCTTTCCGTTATTTATTGGCTGAGGTTTATAATCAATTCTTATATTTAAGACTGTCTTCAATACATCATGAATCAATCAGTCTCATTAGCATCTTTTTTAATCTTAAGACGTTACTTAAGATTAAAATAAGAACCGATTATGAATATCAGCCATTGTATTCACTTTGTCTTATGACACGTTGTTTATACATAATTATATCTTATATTTACATAGTGAAAGACGACGACTTATATCTTGCCAGTATGACATCTGAGTAGATGACATAAACAAAGTATCTATGGAAAATCATTGCAATGCGTGAATCGACATTTGTACTTTCGAGTAAAATTTTGATCTTCGTACTGGAAAAAATGATAATCTTGCGCTTTTACTTGACGTGTATCAGATATCTAATATATCAAAAACGTGATATATCAGAAGGAAATCCCAGTACCGTACTCTGAAATAAAGTAAAAAATAAACATGTAACAAGAATTCGTTTCAAAAATTTGTAATAATTTATAAGGATATCTTCAACAGTAGAGAATTGAACAGAAATCAATCGTACCTCAGAAAAAAAAATGATGTCACTTTAACGTCTCTTATTGCCATGGCGTCGGGCGTATTTACGAGTTTTTCTACAAAAGAAAGATTCATGCAATTCTATGCTCCAATAATATGTGACATTTTTTAATTGTGACTCAGAGAGAAATGGCGACAGATACCTGATTCTGCTTGGAGACGGAATCGGCGCATGTTCCGCGATGGCGGGTAGTACAGATCTGAAATTATCCGTTGGACGTAAAATACCCGCAGTGCGAGATGAAAGTTTCCAGATTAGCTTCTGTCTATGAGGTGTTTGCTCCTGGGCGTTATACTTGCTCAGTACAGTGCCCACCATCCCATGAGTGGAGCGGAAACTCTCCTCTGAAATCTAAAACGCGATAAAAATATAAGTTTTAAGAATCGACAAATAAATTACGCGAGCCGAGTTATCCTGTAATTTTCATTCTACTTTAATTTATTCTTTGTTTTAATCTTGCTTCGCGAAAATTTTCATTTATTTGAAGAATTTTTATTTCACTGTCAACAAAAATATTTTTTTCCGTTCTTTCGATATTTATGCTTTATTTAGACTAAATAATACTTAAAAAGCGAAGTAATGAAATATTTACATTGCATTTCTCTCGGAGCTCCACAGCAAACTGCATGAGTTCGTCTTTTAGCATTTGATAGGATGTAATGATGGATGTGTTGTGTGAGGATGGGTCGTCGGCAGACGCGGTGGCGTCTGCATTTGCATTCAGTCGATTAACAGCAGCATCCAAATAAGTGCAGAGTAATACCAGAGCTACCTCGGAGGGCCTGAGACTCGCGCAACTACCATCGCAACCCACCATTTCCAATCTGAGGATCAATTCAGATTCCTGAAACAGTACGAATGATAGTAGTTTCTAGCTCGTAGTTTCATCATAAATTTCATGTTAATAAAAATGAATCAGGAGACACAGTAGTGTCTCGTTAATATAATAATAAGATTTTAACGTGCGACGACTTAACAAACATTTCGAATTTCATTAGCGCTGCATTTTTTATATCGAGGAGAATGATCTCTTTTTTTTTATTATCTACGTAGCGATCGTAGCCTAGAGAGTTACATGGCTGTTCTCTATGCCACAGATCCGAATTCAAATCCTCCCAGAACATACGTACATCAGATTTTATTTTATCATTTCTCGGAAGACAAATCATCGAAAATATCTTTGCCATAACAACCTCCTCTAATAGTCCAAATCTGTTTAGAACCAGCAAAAACTGTAGGTCCCATATGATATATGCAGAAGAGATCACCACGTCTGCGATAAGAGACGATGGACTCTAAGAGATTATCCTATAAATAAATTAGGAAATAGCTCACCTTGACGATACTGGTATATACGTCGCCGAGATGTATTTGCTTCGCTACCGCATGAAACATTTTGTTGAACAGCTGTAGAAAAGTCAGAGCGGTAGTGGGTTCAGTGCCGGGTGCCCATTCCAATTTGTTTCGTATCACCTCCGACATGCGCCTCAAGTCATCAGCCGTGCATCTGCACTGCGAGATCGAGATTAGGTGCTCGGCATCTATGGGCTGCATTCGTTGGATGGCAGCAATGTAAAAGGCTGACACGCTGATGCAGGCCATGTGCTTCTGCCTTGCCTTCATTTTAGTCAGGAATCGGTCTATCAGATTTATCGCAATGAAAAATACATCTGAAGACAAATCGTACATCACTTTTAGGCATCTTAGTACATGAGCAGATCTGTCTCGAGCACCAATCGTTATCTCATCGTCCTGAACAAACAGACAATTGTTCGGTAATTATATAAACAATTGCTACTATTAATCTTTATTAATCTGTAATATATGTTAAATCTTAAAATTTGAAGATACTATATTAAAATCTTGCTATATTAAAATATATTAAAATATAGAAAGCTCATCATAATCGATAGTTTCATTGATGCTGCTTATAAAGTTTTAACCGTTTCCTCTGCACAACACGGATGTTCTCACCTGTGTTGTTATAGGTAATTGACGGAGGTCCGGTTGAAATTTGACTTCCTGGACGAGGTCTAGAACCAGGTCTTCTTGAAGTTTTTCGAGCGGAGGGATGGCATCCGGTACAGGCAAGCCCGTGTCCATTCCTGCAGTGTGCGACATCGCAACAGCTAACTACAACAATCCGACTACGACTACCCGGCAACCAGGTTTGACGGGTGTAGTGTGGCTGATGAGAAGAACCACACAACAAGAATGGCGCAGCTGGCCAGCCTTGTATCTGTAAACAGAGTAATAAGAGTATAAACAGAGAGTTCGAGATAAACTTTTCGTGTCCATACATAATATCATCAACGAGAAAAAAAAATGAAGGTGGAATATCCCAAAATTCACGAACTTTGAACAATAGATATAGTTCGATTTAGATTAAATTTTTTCTAAATAAAAAAAAAACATTTTATACATCGAAAGGTGAAGTTACTACAGAGAAATTGTTAATATTACCAACATTCTAATTATAATAAATTTTTAGTTAGATAAATTAAATTTTTAGATAGATAACATACAGTAGAACTTCGTTTATTTGTACCCTATTTGCACAAACAAGTTTATACTCCGGTGCTATAGTTTGGATAATAAGAGCTCGACGTGTTGGACTTCAGTTTTTTAAAGTCAGCTGTTATTATCAGAACTAATAAGTACTCGGTTATCAAGATTGTTTTGTCCCTCGATAAGTTCGAATAAACAGAACTCTACTACGTTATAAAATTATTTTATTAATTTTCACTTGCATTTCTCGAATTTGTTAATAGGAGTTGAACTTAACGCGTCGCAAGGTTTTCTTTTCATTGTTAAAATATTTCTCCAGCGATATGCAATTGATATTCGTCAAAGTAGATCAAGTTGATCTTATGTAAATGTCTCATATGTATGCGCCTTCAATGCTGAAATAATTTTGCATCGTACGTGAATAAACGCATGATTATTCAAGGTCGACCGAATCATTTTCTCTTTTAACACGACTGCTCATTACGATATAAACAAAATGCGTTACCTTTATGCGACTCGGTTGAAAAGAGAGAGTCTCAAGGATGCAACATACTGATAAAGCACTTGAATTCTCTCTCTCTCTCTCTCTCTCTCTCTTTCTTTCTATCTTCCTTTTTTTCTTTAATCACCTTCGAGGTGAGAACGGAATGTTATTGGATGTATGAAGCAACAAAGTATGTATCGTAGAATTATTCGAAATGGAAATGAAATTTCAATAAAAATTGTTCAATTATTCTCTAGATTTCTATTGTGTTTTCTAAGGCAAACAGAATAACTCCAATTGGAATCCATTCTGAACAGCTCCATATACGTGAAAAATAATGAAGAAAAGGAAATGGAAGACTGTCAACATCGTGGCTAGATAGTTAGGTGTCTTTGATAAATGAAACAATGACGTTTCGTAAACAGCCTCTTCAGATAGAGATAAAGTTATGTTTATATATTCGTAAACATGCCACCTTTCAAATCTGTCATTACTGAAATACCACAATGTCAATGTCAAGTGCGCGAGAAATATAAGAGAAATCCGACTTAATATGATTTATGATAGATATTATCAGCGTTGAAAGTTAAAGGCGAGTCACTTCCAAATTAAGCAAAGGCAAGCCGTTGTAAATCGGCACGATCTGACGTCACAGGGAAGATAAGTATTCTCTATCGAAGGAGTTGCGTATTTTGGTCAAAGTCTTGCGTAGTTTTCGAACCAGTATGGTCGATTGACGCATCGACTCTCGATTGCAAATTCATCGAAAAATAATGAGACGATTATACAGGGTGTCTGATAATTAATAATAAAATTTTAGAATTTTTTAATACCGTATTTTCTCATCATGTTGATAAAAATACGAAAATGCAACTAAAAAGTTGATAAAAAATTCTGAAAAAATTCTTAGAGCTCTATGAGAAGAAAATAAACAATTTTTGTCTCCTACTGTTTTTCTGTAAAGTTGATAGTATTTGAGTAAAAAATTATTGAAAACCATTATTTAGCGATTTTTAGTAATTAATATCTTGTTAATTATTGCGAAAATTGTAAAATGATAGAGGACTTTTCTTCTCAGTTTAATCCATTCTATCTCTGTGCAAGAGTATTGTCATTAATTATCAGACACCCGGTATGTGTTTTCGACACATTCACGAGAGATAAGAATAAAATACAAGAATAAGCAGGTAAACAAGAGCGTTGAAATGTTGAAAACAAACTTGTAAACTACCTGTCTAATACCACGATATTCATATGACTTCACGATGCCCGATAAAAAAAAGACAAGCTAAAAATTTTGCCGGTTAAATCAATCTCCGATTAAATTTGATTGCTTATGGCAATTTCTACCAATGCAGATTAACTTTGGTCCCAGTTTAATTCACTTTCTATCCTTTATAAGAATTAGAAAAAAATAAAGACACATGAATAGAAAACACTATATTTGATCAAGGCGATTCTTCGTTTATAATATTTTTCTTGTGAATTTATATGATTTCCAGTTTAAATATTAAAAAAAGAGTAAATTAAACCGAGTTTGATCCAAGTTTAAGTGATGAAAAAGGGTTAATGCCTGTTACTACCAATGTAGATCAACTTTAATCTTAGTTTAACTTATTTTTTGTCTTTTTCCAGATCTAAGAATTAGAAAAGGATAAAGAATAAGTTAAACCGAGATTAAAGTTAGTCTACATTGATAGAAATGGACGTTAGACTACCTGTCGTTTAGTTCCACACGTGGTTTACTTAGAGAAGACTTCTCTATCGTTCGGAGCAAACAGATCATTCGTAAAATATGTAGTAGGTTGGGGACTGGTGATTCGGATAACAGAAGAGGGGGAAAAAGAGAAAGACAGAACGCACTGTTTAAAGCTCGTATTCTTCTCTGGCCAATGAAACGGCCGTCCAGAGCTGACATGATGACGAAAGAAAGGTACCGTGTTACGTAGAAATTTCGCAGCTCTGTAAAGAAATTTTTTTTAATATTGAATAAATATGTGCGATTATATAATGTCTATTGTGTTATCAAAAATCGTTTGATACTAAATTAAAAAATTATTTAAAAATTAAAAAATAACTAAAAATTCAAATTAGCTAAATATTCTCGGAATAATTTAATCTCTATCGATGTATATTGTATGCTGTGTTAACATAATTTATGTAGTATTCATCGAATAATCGAGATAAAGTATTTTTGCGTCATTATGAGGTTAAACGTTACGTCATCGTTGTATGTATTACCAGAGTTCAACGCACTCCACAGATCGAAGTAAATGTTTATCGATTTTTCGGATGTTACGTGTTAAAAGATGCACCTATATATGTATATAAATTCTGCGATGGCCAAGTATTGACAGCAAATACTGCGAATTATACGTGAGTAAATTATATAAAAAATTATACATATAAAAATGATATAAATAATAAATATAGAATCATTAAACTTAAATAAAAAATAGAATAATTTATGTGATGTGTGAATATAGCACAGAAATATTTGAGAAAGTTTTATACAATAATAAAAAAACGCGTAACTAAATGTTTTTAATTTAACGTAACTAAGTTAACGTAACTAAGTTTTTTAAATTTAACTTAATCAGATTTTAGGATCAAAGGATCCTTTGCCATTTCCAAACATTTGAGATATTTAATTATAATCGGTGAACTATTTTTCGAATTTATACAAATTTCTAGAAATGATAGAATTAATAAAAAAATTAAATGTGTTCTATATTAAATCAATTGATAAAAAATAAAATAAACCAAGGATGAAATAACCGATTTCTGTTCGTCTGTGTTCGACTTATGTATGTTCGTCGTTTCACCCAATGTAACATTGCAGATTTAAGAGGGGAGGGAGCTATGGAGGCCATGGCCCCCTTGGAGTCTCCTTTTTTAAAAATATTTTTAGCGAAACGTTATATAACGTTTTTTATATTTCTCAAATTCTTAATCACAATTTTGATATTCCAAAAATAATTTTTAATTTAAGAAACTAGATGTAAAAAAAGATTTCATTACATTATTTTTTTTTTTCGTATCAATATAATTTTAAATAAAACGTTTTATGAATTATAAATTGAAATAATACTTTTTCAATGTAAATTTAAATAATAATTCAATATTCTATCTTTTCATATTTGACCTTAAAAAATACAATGCATTGCACATTAACTTAAATTCTTCAATTTACCCTTTATCTTTTTTTAGTTCTAAGAATTTGAATATTCTTTAAATTAATCGTAAGATTAAATAAGATTTAATCTGTATTGATAGAAACGGACATTAGAAAACAAAGGATTAAGTCGCTCGGTTCAAAAGAATTACAAATTTCACTTCCTCCTTATTTCCTTTTTTTTTTTATTATGATATTAAGTTATTAGAATACTAACGTTTATTTTCATTGCTATTTTGTTGTCACTCTGACTCCATTCAGGGCACGTATTATGGAATTATTCAGAATGCATTCCGAATAATTTTATAATACGTGCCTAGGAATAAACGAAAGAAACGACAATACTCGTAACGGAGTTCATAATAGAGTACAATGACCCGCGCATCACTTTCTTCGCAAATCGGAAGCTTAATCGATAGAACAGTAGAGGAACTTCGTTCAAAACAATCTCTCAAGTTTCTTCGATCCGAGAATCAAATGACGCCCGTCAGTCCCGTTGCTATCAACAAACAGAATATATCTAGATCTAAACGGAACGGTCTTTCTACTTCACGCACGACACAAAGAATCGACGTATAAACGACTGGCTCGAATGGCTCGATTTAAACCGGGAGTAGAAAATAATCGAAAAATCTATTCTTTTGGCTGGATTTATCGTCTTGAAAATCCAGAAAGGAACGAAAACGATCAACTGACAAATCCACTGAAATTTCAAGAAATCTACCTTTTTCCCCTCCATTATTCTTCGTCTCGACAAAGCTATAAACGAAATGTAGTCAGATTAGTGGCGAATACTTACCCGGATGCGTCCGAAACGCCTTTACGTCAGCGAATCACCCAATTTTGGCCAGAGTTTTACTTCTCAGTCCAGAAATGTAAACAGAAACAGAACCTGATACTACGACGACTGACGGTTGGTCCGTTGGTCGTACAATAATAGCGATGGCCAGATGGCCTCCCTCCCCCACCATCCCCCTCAAGTTCCGTAAATGTAACGGCTGATTCAGCTGATCATCGTGCGCCAGCGCGCCAATCACTATTGTCGGTGAAGAATGAAATTGGCAGCATTGATTAAAGGTGCCTTTTCATATTGACGCTCGACGCTCATTTATAGGCTGCGTTCGTTTTGGCGCTAAAGCGCTTGTAAGGCCGGAATCAGACTAGGCATTAAAGATTAGCTGCGTTCAGCAGAACGTTTGTTTTACAACTGTTGGAAGTTTCCTTCGCGCTAATTGGATCATACTTTTAGATCTAGAAGAATGGTCCTATCTCAGCAGACAATCATAAAACGGTTGCAAAACTGTTGAGTCTGCTGAACGCAGCCATTGAGATTGAAGATTGAAAGATTGAAATTTAACCAATCGAAACGAAAGGAGCTAAAATTTCTTTGTCCTTATTGGTCAAATTTCAATTTTTAATCTTCAACCTCAATCTTCAATGCCTAATCTGATTCCGGCCTTATGCGGGGTCTACAATAGAAGTCGCAGCGATCTTAAGTCATAGAAAATTGACCAATCATAGTCAATTATTCTTCTCATATTCGATTGTGATTGGTTAATTTTCTTGGAATTCTAGAGTTAACCGTGAGTTGTGGAACTGGACCTAAATAGTAATTTTTGTATAACAAATACTTTTTCTTTTTCACAGATTCGAAAATCCTTTTCCAGGATTAAAATATACACATTAATACGTGTTTGTGAGATGGAGTTTATGCCGAGAACGATAAAAAATTTTTCTTAAGATTTCAATTTCGAAATTTTTTGTCGTTTTTGGCGACATAAATTCCACCTCACAAACACGTATTAATGTGTATACTTTAATCCTGGAAAAGGATTTTTGAATCTGTGAAAGAGGAAAAAAGTATTTGTTGTACAAAAATTACGATTTAGTCGGTAATACAGACGGCTTTAGGATCCCCTTAACCTAACCTAATCCTAAATCCTAACCTCATTATTGCGGGAAACATGAAGAATGAGGTTTAAGTGAAGGTTATGTTCACCGTCGTACTTTTATGTGATGTCAAATAAAAAATAATGTAATGTCACGCTCTAGAATTTTGCAGTATGGTATACCGTTTTTGATCTTTGTTGTCGGTGGATCGTTTGGCCTCCGAGAATTTACGGAAATACGGTAATTGCCTTAGGAGATAAAGAAGTATCACCTGTGTTATGTCGGAAACAGACTACACATTGAAGATTGAGATTGAAGATTAAAATTTGATCAGTGAGGATAAAGAAATTTTAGCTCCTATTGTTTTGATTGGTTAAATTTCAATCTTTCAATCTTCAATCTCAATATTCAATGCATAGTTTGATTCCGACCTTAGACACATTTCCTTATCAAAATAAATCTTCAGTTACAGATATAAACGTACATCTCAATATGACATACACGACGAATTGGAAAAACAGGGATTTCAAATGAAACCACCAGAAGAAATTACTTTGGAGAAAGAATATGAAAAATTGGAGAAGGTATGCATGTTAGAACAGTGGAGTGGGCAAAGGTTGAAATAAGTTTTATAAGATTACAGGTCTGTTCTTTTTAGTTGAATTGCTTGCGCAGCTCATCTCTTTGTTTCTAAAAAAAAAGGTGCAATAAATTTAGCTAAAAAGAACAGGCCTTATTAAGTCTATACAATATAACTTTTTGTATTCAGATTGATCTTGACAACTGGGAGAATGTTAGAATATCACGACCATGGGACGAATCAGAAGATACAAAAAAAGGAGTATAAATAAAAATGTTTTCAACCTATGATTACTGTACAATTAATAGAAACATGGTATTAAATCATCAATCTTTAGCAACACTTGTAATATTATTTGGTAATTATATGAAGGCTTGTTATTAGATAATGTGCTAAGAAATAGAATTTTTTATAGTCTATTTTGGTGTAATTTTATTTAAGAAATTTATTAACAATAATTAACAAATTCTTTTTTATATTTATAATTAAATTGATATAACAATGTTTTTAAAGAATTTCCAAAGTTTATGATTACAAATAACTGTATATAAACATAATGTAATATATGAGAAAAGATCTTCACTTTATAAGTTATATAGAGAGCATTCTAAAGCATTCTTGGTATGTGATTGGAAAATTAAAATATTTAAGTTTATACTAATGCTTAATTATAATGTTTCATCGATAATTTATATATGTATATATGGCAGTGAAATAATATAGTAAGAATTTATGCTGTTTTGCAAGATTCATTTGTATATATAAATCAAATTCATTTTAAATGAACATTAATCACTTGTCTATATCAATATTCTTTTAAATGCATTGGTCATTACATTTTCTAACTACGTTTGAGTCTTAATTCTTTTGCAGAATACATTTGAGCATTTGTCAATACTTATCACACTAAAATATCAATAGCACATTCTGGTCAACAGTAAATTATGCAGATTTAATAGATTTTAAAATCAGTGTTTAAAAGATGACCTACGAAAAAAAATTTGATTACAAAAAATCTTTCAGTAATTACATCTAATACATACAATATACGTGCAAAATTATTTTACATAACACACAATGTCGTGCCCATTGCTTGGCACAATTTTTACTTTACCTTTTTTGGAATCCGTACATGTCTAATAAACTTTGTTGTCTAGGAACTGTTGGCGATTGTTTACTTTGACTTAATCCTTTCTTTTTTGTTACAACTCGTACCTAAGAAATATTTCATAAGTAATTAATTTCAATATTTCCTATTGATTGATCTAAAACTTGTTTATATATATCTGTATTTACCCGATTCGATGATCGTTTCTTCAATGTATCTCTTTTATGGAGGAAATTTTGAACATTTTTTGTATTTATCCATTCGAATGAATCATTTTGCGAACAATTCGCATTTTCATAATTGGTTATATCATTAATTTCCATATTAGAATTTGATGATACTAAATAATTATTCGTTACATAACTTCTATCAGTCATATGTATCATTGATGATACATCGTCTATCTTATCATTGAGGTTTGATTTTTCAGGAACATTTCTATAAATATTAGTTAAACAATCATTTTGGTTTGATAAAAGTGGATCATTAATATTTTCCGTTGAATTTGCATTTTGTACAGTGTCTGTTATAGATAATCTTTTTTCTAGTTGTTTCGGAGTTGCATCATATACATCCGTATCTAGAATTGTATTATAGTTTGTACTTATCCAACTGGTTTCATTGTCTTTATTCTCTGACTCAAGTACGTTGCACTCTTTATTATCTGATTTTGAGAAATATTTGCTTTCTATTACAGTATTTTCATCTATGAGAGTTCTTCTTATGCGCATTAAATTTTTTCCTCTTTTTCGATAATTCCCGTTGGATAAAATACTTGGTGAAGTCGAGAGATCAGACACTCGTTTAATAAATGGATTTCTTTGTTTAAGTAAATCTGGTGACGTGTTACTTGTTAAATTTAAATAATCTTCTGATTCTTTGTTAGTACTGTCGATTAACTTGGCATTTCGACTTGATTTATACATATCCAAAATGGCAAGATTGTGTAAATCATGATCCTCTGGATCGCTTTGAATGTTTGAACTATTATGGGAATTTAATGAGACGTATGCATTCTTTAGAGACTTTCTTTCTTTACCAAGCTCTTTTCCATTAATAAATGACGAATTCAATACAGAGAGAGGAGAAGAGTTTTGACATTTCGTTTTGTTAGTACTATCGATTAGCTTAACATCTCGACTTGATTTATACATATCCAAAATAGCAGGATTGTGTAAATCATGATCCTCTGGATCGCTTTGAACGTTTGAACTATTATGCGAATTTAATGAGACGTATGCATTCATTAGAGACTTTCTTTCTTTACCAACCTCTTTTCCATTAATAAATGACGAATTCAATACAGAGAGAGAAGAGTTTTGACATTTCGTTTTCAATTTATATTTACTTGACCAAATACTAGTTTGAATGATTGTTTGTCCCGCATCTCGCTTTCTTTTTCGCTCCTACAATGTGTAATCAAATTTAATGAATCTTTTGAATTTTTATTACTAGAGTACCATATTATTTCTAAAAATTATCTAATATATAGTTTTATAACAGTTAATTCTCTCAACTACTTACGATTTTATCTGGATTAAAATCATGAACCATTTTTAAAGTAGCTGGGTCGCAATTACCAAGGGCTAGTTGTAAAGCAAGATCTTCATCTCTTTCCCAGCATATTGCAATTGATCTTCAGTGATATTAGCTGGGGGTGGATTCAATCGTACTTGCTTCCTTTGCAATGGACAGAATACTAATTGATGTTTGAACGTTATATCGGCTAATATAAATGCGTCTCTGTATTCCTGTGGCACGACTAGTGATTTCATGTTGAGAACCGAACCTAAACGTGTCAATGCCTTAAAAGATATTGAGTCAGCATTACTTAAGACAGGCATACAACTTTCCCATTCATATTGTCATAGATTTCTTTTTACATTTACATGAAATTCTTGTTAGGTTTTTCTTACTGCTAAGCTATGGAAATGTTTACTGCTAATTTTGGTATAACTAACCTTATGTATATTTTGGTCTGTATTTTTCATAATAAATTTTCGTGCTTTTCCCAAGCCAATACCAGGAAGAGAAGAAAGATAGTCGCAACCAGACAAAATACAGATATGGCGGAACTTATCCATCTCAAATTGTTCAGATTTTACATCCATTGCTAAATATAATTGGTCTTGCGCGATCAAAACCCCATTTCCAACAAGATCCATTTTAAAAAATATCTGTAATAAAAAGAAACAAAAAAATACCTTGATAAATGAAAAAGTAAGATCATATTTGGAACGTTTATCTAATAGCTGGTATTTATGACTTTTAAGACTTTCTAGAAAATTGATGTATAACAAAAAATATTAGGTGCTTTCCATTTGGCGACACAAGTAAATACAAACATTACTTTATTTTTCCTGGCAATGAGTAACAATGACATTTGTGTCAACTTGTGTCACCAAATAGAAAGCATCCATTATAAACAGGAAATAAATCCTTTCCTTGGAAACACATTTATATTGTTTTTCAGTACTACATTATATATTAAAAAAGTAACAGAAAATAAAATTTAAACGTAGAATTAGGCTATAATATAAGAGAATACAATATACTAACTTTTTTACATCCAAACAGTATTAAGTCACTATCTTCTGTGATAATAACATCAGCTATACCACTAATATTTAAATATGCCAATTGTGCATCAGCTTCATAAGGAGCTATAATACAATCGATATTTTCATTCTGACATTGTTTAATTAATTCTAATGCTATCTCATGAGTGATATCTATAGCTCGTTTCAACAAATTTGTTCCTTCTGTAACTTGACCCATTTGTATCAAATCAGTTGCTTTACGACGATTCAATTGTCTGGCTCTATAAAATAATACAGTTGTACAAGTTATTTATTCATCCAATTCAGAATATACAGTGAGCTTAAGTTTCATTGAACTTAAAGCAATTTTTAAATAGAGTAAAGCTTGGTTTTTTAACTTTATAATATTTAAATAATTTGTTTCTTTGTACGTACTTTCGTCTCTTGATTTCTGTCTGCTCTTTAGCAGGCAACCGTTGGCCGTCAAACACCAGGATGGGTTTTATCTTGTATTTCAAAAGCATGTTTATATATTTCATACAATACACAACGTACCTATGATAGAATAGAAAAATTATTAAACATCCATTAATGTAAAAGAGAATATCAATGAGAATAATAAATGTGATCCATGCTTACGCATTCGTCGTTTCTCCCATCATTAATTTCTCAGCACAAGAAAATGCACCTTTGTGTAACCAACAATAAGAATCAATTGCAACAGTCCCACCAGAAAACTCTTTGATATTTGTCTTTCTAGAAGACTTTTCTAGGAACGGTAGCAACCCGGTGATACCCATATTTATACAAATTAATCTCTGTCACAGTCAAAACAATTAAATTGTATTAAACAACAAATCTATTAAAATACATTCCTTACATCAAAACTACATTGCCGCCAGATTCGCTGACATTGCGCATGTCGTTAATTATAATTATTATAAACATACCAACGTTGAAACTCTAGATTCCTTTTTTCGTTCTAGGGAATTTTGAAAAACTCATTTCGGTTACCTATACTTTCGCGAAAAGGGCAGCCAACGTAAATCTGAACGACAGTTTTTCTATGAAACCGCGGGAAAGAATTGTACTTGTTTCCATCAAATGTAGATTAATTTCGATTTAATTTACTTTTTATCTTTTTCCAGTTCTTAGAATTACAAAAAAATGGAGAGTAAGTTGAACTGAGATTAAAGTTAATCTACAATAGCAGAAATGGACATAAGTTACTTTTGGCTAGCACACTTGTGGGTGTTATTTCGCATTATAAGTAATTAGTTTTTAGCCCTTCTTATCTCCAATATTATATTTTTATACTATGGTAAAAAAAAACTGAGTCAATCACAGCTTGAATTCAATTTCTAGAATATCGTCGAATGACAAAAAATGGTAATAATTATCAATTACGTCAATTACTCTACTCATCATGATCTACATTGACTCTCTTCATGATTATTTGTGGCTTCTGAGACAAAAATTGTTGTTGGAAGATCAAAGATTTGATATTCCAAAAAACTATACTCGACTGAAGATGATTATAAAAGGTACACTCTTTGATATAGTTAGAATAAAATAAGATTTATTTTCTGTTGTATAAGAATACACATCTCATATATATGCACACATACAAAATATTTTTACATATTGTATACTTTTCGCAAACTTCCATTAAATAGATTAAAATATAATAGCAAAATCTATAAATTATATTACAGTATAACGTCCCAAAAAA